TGCTCGTAATTTTAAGGCTGGTTTCTAAATACCTTGGCACCAATAACCCGGTTAGAACAGTTGTAGCTCCAGAGAGGGCACATCTGAGAAAATATAAGTGGAAGGAAGCTTTTCTAGTCCAATGAAAAACGCTCTTTCATTCTACTTTCCCCTTTTTCTTGTTTTGCTATTGATTCACTTTGTGTAGTAATTTTAGCTAATGTCGTATGATTTAATTATATTCTACTGGTTTTTGTGTGATTCAGTGCACTTTTGACACGACAAACGTCGGTAAAAGTTTAAATTTTTCTGGGAGACATACATGAATAAATCTACTAAAACACGAGGCTCGGTTCGATGCACAATAAGTCGTTTCCTCCACGAAGAAACGTAACTGCATTTCAATGTTGCCAAATTTCTCCTCGGAAATTGCATTTTTACTTAGAGATTCTTGGGCATTTCTTTCTGACAATTTCAAAAATGTTTACATTGATCTGATGTAAGAATCAGGAAAATTTTTGAAAAAACCTGCGCAGGTATATTCTTGTAAAAAAACTAATTGTTTCAATCAACTTTAACACTTTGGCATGGAGTAACGTTTCTTCGTCTGGGAAACGAAGAAAACTCGTGAATGCATCTACTCGTTCGAAAAAAGCCAAAAGAAGTTGCACGATGGTTTAAAACATCTTTACTTTTGAGACTATTCATTCATTTAGTGGGGAGGTGCATTAAATATCTGGCCGGAAATGGATAAAAATAAAATTGTCGATGGGGGAGGAGAGAGACGTTAAAACAGAGAGAAGCTATTCGGTAGCGAGGAAGAAAGAAAGAGATAAAAGGAGGTGTAGACAGACAAGTTTACGACGTAGATTGGTCAAAAGCCATTAGAGTGGAAGTTGCTCGGGTCCGTACAAGAATTCTAAAAAGGCTGAGACCCAATAAATAGTTTTAACGGCGGTTTAACGCTGGTTGCGCCGTCACGCCGCTAACCCCGGGGGCTCAATTCCGCGGTGAACTACACCCATTATTAACAATAAATGCGCGTGAAAGTGTTACCAAATCTGAGGAAGAAAAAATAATGCTCGCACAACTTTCATTTTTCACGCCGCCGAATCTGCGGGCCGTTTTCATGGTCGTTTTTTAAGCGACTCCTTTCCCTCGGTGAAGCCCAGATGTTGTGGTTCATACTGCGGTAAAGGCACGCGGGAAGGAGAGTTTAATCAAGCCACCAAAAATTAACTGAATCACTTTTATATTGGCGAGCAATTTAATATATATTCGCACACGAATATTGCATCGCCTTGCTTATGCATATACAGGGTGTCCCAAAAGTCCCTTCCACCCCCTCTAAAATTTTACCTAATTAATATTTTGAAACGAAACTTTGGGGATGTTCATCGATCAATGTAAGCTACTTTTGGGGCCCCTCAGAATTTTCGGGGCCCCCGTGGGGAGGGGCTGCGGACCCCAACTTTTTTTTTTCAAATGGCAACCCCTATCTTGTGATACTTCATTCGAAAGAGCATAAAAAACTAAGAATTTTGGCGCAAACCGCAGATCAATATCTCAACGAAATTTAAACGGTCAAATTTAATCACCTTAAATTTCGTTTTTTTTTAACTTTTCCCGAAATTTGGGGACTTGCCAACGTAATGTTGAACTGATTTTGACCTTACTGAACTAATGTGGAGGCAAATCTGGGGGAAATTGGCTTATTTCGCGGGAATATTGAATGACCCTTGAATTGGCGTATTTGGGGGTCCGAAACCCCCCTTACAATTAGTTTGAAGTAATTTCTGTGATTTTTCCTTAAAAGTGCTTACAATGTGGTAAATTTCCCCGTTTTATTTTTTTCATTACGATAATTTGAACCGGAATTATGATTTTTTGAAAATAGGTCAAATTTTACCTTTGACCTACCATAACTCGGTTAAAAATTAAGATATTGATCTGCGGTTTGCGCCAAAATTCTTAATTTTTTATGCTCTTTTGAATGAGGTATCACAAGATAGGGGTTGCCATTTGAAAAAAAAAAAGTTGGGGTCCGCAGCCCCTCCCCACGGGGGGCCCTGAAAATTCTGAGGGGCCCCAAAAGTAGCTTACATTGATCGATGGACATCCCCAAAGTTTCGTTTCAAAATATTAATTAGGTAAAATTTTAGAGGGGGTGGAAGGGACTTTTGGGACACCCTGTATAATTTCCTTGAGGGCGTAAATAGATTAATTTTTGGTTTCAGGGCATTCCGTCAACGATTTTTTGTCCGCGCACCTGTTTTGCCCAGTAGTTTACGTCCTAGCGTGGAATAAGCGACAGTGACTTGGTCCAAGTGTCATATTTTAGTCCGTATGTAAAATTATATTGACAATAATGAAATGAGAAAATTGAGAGAGACGGAAGAATTGTTGTGGTGGCTCCTTCTTTTGATCAATCTTTTTAAATTGTCATGGGTGAATATTTGGTTGTATTTCCATCCATAAAATTTTCGATAAAAGATAAACCTTATAAATACTTTTTTTTTTTAAAAAAAATGAAAATATTCCTTTATTTTAAAAACATTTACATTTTTAAAACGTGGCAAATATTTGTAAAACCATTTCCAAGCAATGGCATCGATATTAAAGTCAATGAGCAGTAGTCGTGCCGAAAGAAACTATGCACAAATGAATAAAAAAGGGAAAAAACCGAGAAGCACGCAATCTTTGGTTTTAGCCCATTTGTACATCGATCTTTCAGAGTCAAATACGTCCTATTTTGAGCGTTTGGTTGCGCTCATACCACGCTGCAGCATAGTAAAAGCACAAAATATAAAAGAAAAAATTAATGTGCTTTGAAAATCATTAAATACGACAAGGAAACACCTTAATAATTACAAAATACACATTGAATTTTCCTTTCAAATATACATTTCTTTTATCGATTTAAATTAAAGTAATCTATGCAGAGTGTGCAAACATATAAAAATCATGAGTTGAAAAACGCTGGCTCCGCGAGTTTAAATAATAGGCCCTAGCATAAAGCGGAGTGATGCGACGCGACCAGCTGCCAGCTGCTGCCAGCGCGAAACGCGCACTGGCGCCTACAAACCTAAGCAGATACTTCACGCATTGCGCAATGCTTGAGGTATCCCTTAGGTGTGTAGGCGCCAATGCGCGTTCCGTGCTGGCTGGCTGGCTGGCCGCGCCGCAATGTGCCACGTGCCACGGCGCTTCACTATTTCACAATAGAGGTGTTGTACAATATTATACGAAATTGAAAATGTAATAATTAAAAGGCCCTAAGGTCTGCAGAGATCGCCATTGACATTTCAGTTTCTGTCAATTTTCTGCTGTAAAATGAAAAATAGCCTGAAATTTCAAGGGACTACGGCATGAACTTTCCCGTGAAATTTCAAATTCTTATATTTCATGAAGTTTTTTAGCTCAGCTATGGGGCCGCAGGCAACAAAAGGACAGATCACATTCCGTGGAACGTCAAACACCGCGACTTAGACCAGTCGTTTTGAAGTTGGGGTAATGAATCGATTAGGATGTTCGTTGCAAATATCGATCGATCTTTTTCCATAGGTTTAAATGGCGTATCAATCGATATATCGCGAGGCACACCACGCCCCTGGTTTAGATAGACCTCGCAAATTTGACTTCAGCCAAAAATAATTTGTTTAAAGGTTTGAGTGTGACGTCACTGGTCTCCGCTGATGGTGGCACCATCGCACTGGGCTCCGGGCGGCCTCGGACGGTGAGAAACGGTCGCCGCCGAGCGTAGAAATTCGCGGGGGCAATTAATGACCTTTGTGCGCGCTCAGTGACTCGAAATTCGAGTCCGGCTTCGCTTGATTTCCACTCTGCATCGCGCATCAGGAATGCCGTGTCCGGCTTTGGCCGGCCATGGATTTGCGGCAGGGCGCCCGGTTTCGTCGATGAATGGCACGGATGTGGGTTCATAGCCCCCCGCCCCCCTCTCGGCCAACCCCCCACGGTTGACCCTTCGGTCCGGAGCGAGGGATACGCCTTACGATCGGAAGTACTGCCAATAGGGACCAGAGATGATGGGGGCTGGCTAATATCCAGGTGCAAGCCCAAAATGGGATTGTTGCAAACATTTGCCAGGACTAAAAAGAGTTCTTGCGTAAAAAAAAAAAAAAAAAAAAAAACCCTCAGAACCAGCGAAGTAAATGTTAAGGAGCAATTCATGTATAAAAATCTACTAAAGGACGGGGAGGGGGTCTACCTTATTTGGGCTTCGAGAAAAAAGGGGGTTAGACCTGGTTTTATGTACGCATCTTGAGAAAAAGTACTAACACAAACAGTATATTAGATAAAATAGTTTTTCCAGCTAATTTTTCGGTCTTTCTCCGACATTTTTCGTAATATTAAAAAGGGGAGAAAGTCGCTGTTTTTCATTACATTAATGATAAGAATAAAATTTTCTACCTTCTAGCTGAAAATTTGATCAAATCTCGTAGTCAAATGGAACATTCTGCACAAGAAAAATTGCAGGTTTCGAGGTCGAGTTAAACAAAATCATTGTGGCAGTATATGCTGAAATTGGATTCCGATGTATTTCCTTACTATTAGTACGTAAAAAGAGAGAAACCTTACATTTTAATTTTTTCTCATATTTTACGATCAAATTAAGCAGCAATGAGGACTTTCCGGTTCCATTTTTACAGGCGAGCCTTTGAGTGATTTCACTGAATCGACTAAATACATTAAGTACTGAGGATGAATCCAATTCTGAAGCTCCCCCGATATACTTAGCTCTAGGTGCTTAGATACTTCACAAGTGCTTCGACTTAAAGCGACCCTTTCAATTCGATGAATTTGAGTTCCTCCGAGTCGAGGAAACATCAAATACAGTCGGCAAAGTTCAAGAGAAGACTTGCAATTGAGATCCTGGCAAGGCGGCGTAGCGATAAACAGGCGAAGAAAGTCACTTCAATTAGAGAGAGGCGCAATTACATTACAGCGAGAGGACGATTATGAAATTACTAAACGTAGCAGATTGAAAGGGAAGACCTCACCTGCGGCGGACTTATAGATCTTCGGTCGTAATCCATCAATGCTTGCGTCAAAGGCAACAACGAGCCTCTGAGTTCACCGTCAACCTGCCAACATAACAGCCAATTCGCGTCAGTGATGCAATCATGCTTCAGTCATCCACGCACTAAAACTTCATGCTGTCCCATTCAAACCTTGTTCAATGACCAGTGAGTCAAAGGAAAAGGAAAATTTTCGTTGGAGCGAACTCTAATTTTCTCCTGAACTTCAAGTTCTTTTCCCATCATTCGATCAACCCACGTTGGTGATATTTTGTCCGTAAAAGTAGAAAATGGAGATGACAGATAATTCTAATGAGAACTGTGAACTAATTAATGCGAATTGCACTTATGTGCACAAATATTATTTTCCTCTTCATAAATGAGGGCCATTGATAGCGACATAACTTTCAACAACTTAGACGATTAAAACTAGACTCATGGAACCTCATGAAACAAATGTTCAGGAAAAACATACGATAGGGGGATTTAAAAGAAAATTTAAAAATCCAGAACACAAGGACGCAAGCATAAATAATAGGTTTCCATCAAAACACAATATCCCCTAAATAAACCAAATCCAAAGAACTACAATCCGACTACAAACAAAATCCGAAAAACTACATTGAAAGTATAACAATACGCAAGACGAGACAAAACACCAAAAAGACAAAAATTATTAACACTCTGAAAGGAAGACACACACAATACTTCGAATTGTGACATGGTATATATGGATTATGCTCATTATGTGCAAAGCGTCTAAAATACGCCTCGGAATGAGAACTTGTAGATTGTTGCTTTCTGTCCATGTAAAATTGATTTCATAATATAATTAACCAAAGCATATACTTGAGGACTTCTCATGAGCCCAAGAAAATACTTAGCTAAGAGACTCTCTGAATCTGAAGTAACCGCAATCGCTGTCTTTAGAAACTTCAATCGCGTTACTTTTTTGATGATGCAATAATGGTGTACATAATTTAAAAAAAAAAGAAAAGAAAAAAAAGGTAATCAAATAAATTTATTGGTGATCTAGACAGAAAAGAACATAAAAGCATAAGCGCGCTACCGCTAAGGGGCTACGATGTAATATAATTTTTTTTTTCACCCTTAATTTCGAATTCTGATTCTTGAAGACTTTTGAAATATTTTAATGATAACTTGTCGCGAATTGAAGTCGCTGTAAGCACACAAGGAGCGTTGATAAAAAGTATCGAAAATAACCTCTTTGTCGCAGTCACAGAGTGTTTTTTGCTTCCAGGTTAGCGTTTTAATTAAGCGTCCAGGCGCGGCGAGACGCTGCAGACGCAAGAGATATCGGAGCGCCTTCAATTTTTTAGATGCAACAAGGACATCCCTTAAGGACGAATAGTTGCATCCAGGGGTTTGCTGCCAGAAGAACGTCTTTATCAAGTGGCGTAAGAATTATTGTAATGATAAATAATTCTGGATAGTTCGTTTGCTAAGGTTGGCTGCCCTGTTGGGCCCTAAAAGCCCCATGACCTGTTCTCAAAATTACCGACGTATTTGTAAGTTCGAATTTTCAAAGACTAATTTACAACGACTTATCTTCTAGCCAGAGTAACTACATGTGGATCCTCATGTAGTTACTCTGGCTAGATGTAGTGAGCCTGAAACACAGGAACCAATAAGGAACACAGGCGAGGCATGAAGATCGATTATAGATATTTATCCATTTGAAGCTATAGTTCAGAATCGGTCATTAAGGTGTTCGTTGCGAACCTTCATTCAACCCTCGTTCATCGATTCTTTTCCGTAAGCTTAAACGGCAGATCAATCGATATATCGCAACGCACGTCGAGCCACTGATAAGGAAATAGGAACTAAACGATTTGCTTTCCCGCGGCCTCGGCCGAGTGGCGAAAACCGTAGCATATTGTTTCAAGAAAGGAGCAAAGAAAATAATCGGTTTAGAGCTCGGGGTGGGGGGCGGCACCACAACCACGACCTCCCTTCCCCGAGAATTGAATAAAATTACACCTTGGTCCAGTGCGACGAGGGCGGGCAGGCTGATGGAGGCCGGCCGGCAGCTGCAAATCCTTTCCCGATTAGGAACAGCTTTGCTTGCACACCCCAGCCGCAGCCATACGCGGGCTCCGTTAAATGTTATCGCCGATTCTGCCTATGCAAGCCTCCACGCCGCACAGTGGATCGAGTCAATTAGAGAGGTCGGACATGACATTTTTTACTAAAACTGGAAATTTTCATGTTTATTTCGTCAATTTTCAAACTGGAAGGAGTGCCTCTCGAAGAGAATTTCACGAGGAAACCAATAGAACCACTTTTAGAATTTCAAAGTTTTGTATAAACGGAGTTATAGGCGTTTGAAGTTTCCAAATTTTGTCCGACCTCTTCTATTGACTCGATCCACTGTGCGCCGCGCCAGTGCGTCGCCACTCTGGCGTAAAGACGCATCCGTATTTCCACATGAGCCCCAGAGTGCGTAAAGTCATACGGAGGACACGGCTCACATGGAAATAGAGATATGTCTTTACGTCAGAGGGATGACGAGCAAAGAGCCGACAAACGACTTTCAGACGAACCTCCCTCTGATGAAAAAAAATTGAATCGGGTTTCGCACAATTCCCTCTGGTTCACTCATTGCTTCAGGAATGTAATGACCACCATTAAGCGGTCATTCTCGAGCTCCTTCCACAAAATGGGCATTTTTTTCTACCGCAGCTTGGAATGGGTCAACACGGCGTACACGATTGGGTTTTAATTGTTGAACCGTTGACACCGCGGTGGGTTTGTTGGAATACATCACGAGAGGGAGTTGTTGAGATTGCGTCATAATCGTCGGTGCTATTTTGCGAAGACAGAAATTCTCATTACAGGAGTTAACTCCGAACGCAGAATGAGGCACCTCCCTTGAAAATGCGCTTTTGGGAGCGACACTAATTTACAACTGCGACAGTGGCGTGACGTGCTTTGCGATACATCGATTGATCTGGCATTTAAACCTATGGAAATGGATCGATAAACGAATAATGACCGCGTCGATAATCGACCGCCGAACCGAATGATGTCATCCGCCACCAATCAGAAGCGAGCACGGGTTTCTACGACTTCCGTCGAATGTTTTTCTACTCCTCGTAAATGAAAACTATAGGGAAGTCGAAACTATACCTTCAAAATCGATGATTCATGCATGTTATCTGTAGTTAACGAGCAACGATTCCACATTGAAATACGTTTCATTTCAACAAACATCAGTACGATTTTCCCGCCGTTCCGGCGCGTTTGCAATTCCTGTGAGTATTTGCGGGCTCCTTCGGGATTTCGGCACCAAAACTACGGTATCAACCGCACCATGTAGTACACTCACCTGGTACTTTCAGAATATTGGAAAAGAACCACAAGATTTCGTATTCCATTTGCATGGATGCTACGATTTCTTAACTTCTAGTTTAGATGGGCTTCTTTTTTAAATTCTTTTAACATTTCCGCACGGTTAAATACGGCAACAATGATAAGGGAAAAGGGGATAAAACGCCGCTCAGCGTCAATTCGTCGCTTCCCGCACGAAGGAGCGTACCTCCATTCCAAGGTTGCAAAATTGACTCAAATAATTCAATTTTTTAACAAGAATATACCTGTTAAATCTTTGTTTAAACTTCGTCTGATTTTTGCATGAGATCCGAAGAAAAATCTGTCGAAATTTCAGTTAAAAAGTCCCAAAATTCTCCTCAGGGTGTCTACTAAAACAGGCAGGCCAAAAAGCAGAACTTTTACAGTACTTTTTTAGTACATTCCCAAAAAAATTCAGTGCCTTCTCAACAGAAAAATTCAGTACTTTTTCAGTACCCCCATTTTGACGAAATTCAAGAATTTTGAATATCTCACTCAAATTGCAACAAAAACAAACAAAATTCCGGACCTTCTTGCGGAATTACCGCACTTTTTCAGTACTTCCGGACCGCTCTCAGAAGATCAGTACCATTCTCGGACTTTCCGGAAATCCCGGACTTGTAGACACCCTGATCATGTATTTTTGACGGCATTCATGCACATTTTTCTTTGAAATTTTCAGATATTTTAGATTAAATTGCGTACCAAATTGTCTGAAAATTGGAAAAATCTGAAATGTCGGACCGCTCTTAGAAAATCAGTAAAATTCTCGGACTTTCCGGAAATTTCGGACTTGTAGACACTCTGCTCCTGGTGAAAATGCAATTTGCGAGGCGGAATTTGGCAACACTGGAATGTAGTTACGTTCTTTGGTGAGGGGAACGACGAATTGATGCGATAGACGGGATCCGCAGCGGAGAGGAAGCGGTTTTGCCGCGGAATCGGAGCCGAGCGTGAGAGTGCGAGTGCCCGAATTATTTAGCAAATTACCCTCCAGGAGGAGGGGGCGGGGGCGAGTTGGGGGGAGGACAGAGGGGACTCAGCCAAAACGGATGGGGGGAGACTAATTAGGGAAGCTGCTCTCTTAATTACGCCCGGTTACACTTTCCTCGGGTTTTCATCATTTCTGCCCAGATCTGACAATTATTGTTACCGACCCTGCGATCCCCCTCCCCCCCCCCGGTCGCTCATCGGCGTCAGCAATTTAAAAACAGCTTCTCGCTTTCTGGAAAGTTTCTTAGTACTGCTGGTCGGTGTTGTCACGCCTCTGCGTAGCAAGCGAGAGAATTATTGTAACGCAGCACTGCTAAGTAAGGAAAAAGGGATTTAAGGGATTTTATCTGGCAAAATGCGTCAATGGGTTCTTAAACGATGAACGGATTTTGGCATGAAAATGCATTTTTTCCAAAAGTGAATGGCGCGTAGAGCACAATGCACACATAAAAAACGCGATAAAGAAACTAAAAAACCGAAAAATACGCAGTTCACAAAGCGCAACATTTTCGCAAATTTGAAACTCAACGCTTTTGCACTGACAGATTGAGAAAAAATAGTGAGGTGCATCAAAACGACTGGTTTCTCATGTCCTCCTTTGAAAAACACACGCTGTATACGGTCACTGGTTACTTAACACTTTAATGTCCGAGCGGGATCGTACAGACCCGAGACTTGCTAAATACATGTGCTCCGCCATT